TTGTTATATACGACAAGAGTGGGAGTTGAAGTCCACTCATCTTAAAGTGGCCAAGTTTGGACAACACTGGTGTAAACCAGCCCAACCCACTGAGCTGGTATTGCTGCAGCATTTGGTCAATCCGGGCGCACTGAATTTACCTAAACAGAAAACTCGGCAAATATACTTTAAAAAGCTGAGAATGTGGTCATGGAGGGAAATGACCTTTTTCTGCCTTATCTTCCTTTTGGGAAGTCTTAACTCAGTATATATGAAGTGTACACACAAACACACACATATACTTACAGCGGCTGGGTTCACACAGCACACTAACCCTGGGTTAACAAACACAGCTCCTGTGTTCACCTAGCACACGATGCCCAAACAGATAAATCATAATACAGTTTAACGCATACAGGTAGTTCTCAACTTACGACCACAATTGGGACTGGAACTTCTGTTGCTAAACGATGCGGTCATTAAGTGAGTTGCGCCCAATTTTACAACCTTTTTTGCGGCGGTCATTAAGCAAATCTGGCTTCCCCCATAGACTTTGCTTGGTGGAAGCCCCCCAGGAAGGTCACAAATGGCGATCACGTGACCCCGGGATGCCGCAACCATCGTAAATGCATGCTGGTTGCCCAGGGCCAAATTTTGATCACATGACTGTGGGGATGCTGCGACAATCGTAAATGCAAGGACAGGTCATAAGTCACTTTTTTCAGTGCTGTCGTAACTTCAAACGGTTGTTAAATGAACAATCATAAATTGAGGACTATCTGTAGCCTGATTTATACCACACACTTGGATAATGGCTGGGTTCCCACCAAACTACTCAGCCTCCAATAATAACAACAATAATCACCCCAGTGAGGCACTACCTTGACCTGGTTGTGGGGCTTGCATGCTCCGAGGAGGATGAGAGCTATGCCAGAGGTTCAACCATACTGGACAGGTCTCATCAGAGGAGCCAGACAGTGTCTGTCCCATAAACAATATGGTGAGACGTAATTTACAGAAACCTACACCGGATTGGTCATCGCCCAGGTCAGCAAGGAGTTCTAGTTCCTGGACATCTGGTGACACGTGGGGTACAGGACTCAGGACTGCTGGCTGAGCAACCAGGGCCAGCAGCTGCAGGACTACTGGAAGAAAAGTTGCTTACCCTTCCCAAATATACAAAGACTGAAAACAAAGAAATAACGATCTGCTATTACAAATCAAGTCCAAGAAGAGGACATCTGAAAAGAATGCACCGGTTCTGGAAAGAACCTCCAGAATGAGAAATAACAGGCTAGCAGATCAACGTCGATTTATAGTACGAAATAAAGTATTCACAGAAGTAGAATTCGAAGAACCGCACAGGTCTACCTGGGACAAAGAAACCGAAGCCTGGCCAGAAGTAGCTCAGACTGTAGAGGCAAACCAGGGCAAGTCGGCAGTAGAGGAAGCCAGCATAGCTACTGAATCGTTTTCATTCCCAAACGAGGCACCCTCTCCTCAGAAAGAACAAAGCCTTTTAACTAAAAAACAAGAGGAATTGAAACAAAGAATAGCCGAGTATCTAGAACAGCACAAAAAGAACAGAATAAGGTTGCCTGCATTGAAGCTTGTTACAAACAGCTAGCACACATATTAAAAGATGCCACTACTGTAAATATCAAATATAGTGCACCAGCTCATTGCAAGAAACAAACCAGCTGATGTACAGCACGGCTGCAGTTCTAACTGAATACCTTGGATGCAAAATCAACCAACAAGGAAAAAAGCCAAACAGCGCACCACCCAAATGGAAGATCAGGTTGGAAAATAAGATCAGCCTGCTAAGATCAGATGCAAGCAAGCTAG